TTGTTTGGATACTCTTTGGGTAAAGACAAGAATTTAAAGGAAAAACCAGGAAAACCATCAACACAACCTTTAATAGAAGCAAGTGACCAAGGTAGGTTAGAAGATGCCTGTTCCTCAAGCCTACCAAGGCTTGGCTTCTCCAAAGAAGAGGAGGTCTCAGAAATTGCTACAGAGTCAATGAGTTTCGAAGGAGACCTACAAGATAACTATGGAAGCTGCTCAAGAGGTGGACAAAGAAAAAGCTCTCCATATTTGGAAACTTCTAAAGACTTCAATGCCAATACAGAGCTGGGACCAGATATTTCAAGCATCATCGTGACACAGAATCCCAAAGTCCCTGAACAATCTGATTTGAACATAGAAACATTCCAAAGGGACCCCAGCAAGACTTCACTGTTTGCCAAATCTCAGCATTCACTAGCAGATATAGACAATATGTTACAACATCCTGCAAGCCCTTTAGGAAAACTAGATCCTGAAATGCTCACTGACTGGAGAGGTGATCAAGACATCCTAGGTCTTTCCAATCTACCCAGGTTGGGTGATCAAGATCTAGAAAAAACTCCTCAAGGTGTTTCATTATTGAATCCTTCAAGTGGAGGGGAACAACATGTTCCTGATATGCTTTTATGTTCTATGGGAGTTGAAGGAAGAAATCCACAATCCACTCCTCATCTGGACACAATAGAACACACATCTTCTTGTTTGATCTTCTCAGAAAATCCCTCACAAGTAAACATCTCAGGGCAACTTCCAGAATCTGGAACCCCTACATTGGTCGAAAAGGATCAGCTCAATGACAAAGACCCTCCGGAAAGTGGAAATCCTGAGATGCTTCAGCATGATGAACCACAGTTTAGTTTAGATACCACCATGGAGGTAGACCTCCATGGTGGACAGGCCACTGAGAGTAGTTCCCCCACTGGACAAGATCTGTTTTCCCCATTTGCAGCCCTTCATCACATCCCAGAACTCCTTAGAGATACTATCAAAGGAAAGGTTGAAGAAACAACTGAAATTGGTCTGCAAGAACTCATACCAGAGGAAGAAAGCAATTGATTACCAGTATGTCCTTCATAACAGGATATCAAGGATCTGGTACAGCATGACTGATCATCTGCAAAGGTGGGAAAAGAAAAAAATTGACTTTCACATCCCAACTGCAGCTCCCCAGAAAAGTCAAAAATGTGACTGGGAAGTGACCAGAGTCACTTGCAGTTCTGGATACATGAGTTATTTCTTTCCGCCAAAAGTAAATTGGAAGTAAGGCAGTGCAAGAAACTGGAGCATGTTGGAAGACAAAGTACACATCCTGGTAGCATTTGGAGAGCATTTTAGGTTCATTTTAAACTTAAAATATTAAAATTGGGGGGGGGGGGCAGTTCTGAGGGCCTTCAAAAAAAATAGGGTAATAATTAATTCTCACATAGGAGTATTTCTGAAAAGAATTTAAGTTGAAACCGAGGAATGAAAAAGAAGCACAAAATCAGTTTGCAGATGAGATAACATAAATGTATGTTTTGTAGCCTGGAATCAATTAGTCTGTGTGCAGCAAACATTCCTGGGTATAGTAAGCCAAAATATTATGTCAATACATAAATTAATGTGCAGAGATGAACCAACAAGAGATGTGAGATACAAGGAACGAGCCCTTTAAATTGAACTGGGGTCCCTGATTTGCTTCTGGAGAAAATATGTAGTATATGCAGGATCCTAACATTTATGGGAGAGGCAGAGAAGAAGAAAGGGGATTTGCATGCTTTCCAAAAAAAGGGTCCCTGCAATGATAGAAGTGAGGAAGCTAAAGAGTTATATAATCAATACAGGCTGAGTAACTCTTAACTGAGATTCCTAAATCCTTCAAAATCCAAAATTACCCACTTGGATGGCTGATATAGACACTCCTTTGCTTTCTGATGGTTTAATGTACACAAATTGTATTTCATTAAGCAAATAATTAAAAATGTTGTATAAAATAGTTTTCAGTGTATGTGTATAAAGTGCATATGAAACATACATAATTTCATGTTTCGGTTTGGATCCCATCTCCAACACATCTCATTATGTACATCTATGCAAATATGAATATTGCAAAATATGGGGAAAAAAGATTAAAAATCTCAAATGCTTCTGGTCTCAGGTATTTTGAACTGGAACCTTAAAAGAAGAGAAGTACAAAACAAATCCCTCTCAAACAGGTATTCAGATATAAAAGTGGTTAAAATACTAGAAAGGTATCAGATGCAAGGGAAATAATTTCCCAGATATAAGACAGGGCTCAAAAGAATCATAGAATCAAAGAGTTGGAAGAGACCTCATGGGCCATCCAGTCCAACCCCCTGCCAAGAAGCAGGAATATTGCATTCAAATCACCCGACAGATGGCCATCCAGCCTCTGTTTAAAAGCTTCCAAAGAAGGAGCCTCCACCACACTCCGGGGCAGAGAGTTCCACTGCTGAATGGCTTTCACAGTCAAGAAGTTCTTCCTCATGTTCAGATGGAATCTCCTCTCTTGTAGTTTGAAGCCATTGTTCCGCATCCTAGTCTCCAGGGCAGCAGAAAACAAGCTTGCTCCCTCCTCCCTGTGGCTTCCTCTCACATATTTATACATGGCTATCATATCTCCTCTCAGCCTTCTCTTCTTCAGGCTAAACATGCCCAGCTCCTTCAGCCGCTCCTCATAGGGCTTGTTCTCCAGACCCTTGATCATTTTAGTCGCCCTCCTCTGGACACATTCCAGTTTGTCAATATCTCTCTTCAATTGTGGTGCCCAGAATTGGACACAATATGTTGATGTTCCACATCAACATCTTCAGACTGACCTCCCATTTTAAGATTCTTTTGGAGATTGTGCTTGGACACAACATCTCTTCAAACAGAACAAGGAAGGTCAACTCTAGGAGTTTGAGGACCACTTTCATTCCAAGGCTACTGCAGCCCCTCCATGTCAACCAAGAAGCAATCAGAAAGTCATTTCCTGTATTCATATCAAAGCTCAAAACGCTCCAAACTCTCTTCTGATATGTCAGAGAAAGAGAAGACAATACATTGCTGTGTAGGAAAACCACTGAAACCAGAGGCATTTGAGAGCTCCAATTCTCATATTTGATAAGATTTTTTGCAGGTTGGCTATTGTGCAAAAAGTGGCCTTGAAAGCCACATGTGATCTTTCGGCCACCAAGTTCTTCCCTTTGCAATGGGAGCTCATTCTAGGAAACATGACCATTGAATGATTGCTTGGTCTTCTCTCCTGGCAGAAAGCCCACCAGCCTTGGTTGCCTTCCTGGATTCCGGAGGTTTCTTATTCCTCTATTAGTATGTTACAGATTAACTTTGAAACTGCAAGGTGTAAATAAGGTTACAAGGTCACTCCCATTTTGACCGACATTGGCATCGTGATAATCTACACAATAAATTGTGCTATATTTTGTGAACTCATGCAACAAATACATGTTGAGGCAATGATGACAGATTTCCAGAGCTCCAAGCAGCAGATTTCTAATCTCTACAATTCAAAGTGTATATATCAATATAAATAAAAGTGTAATGCTTGTTTGTGAGATTAATATAACCCAAAAACCACTGGACGAATTGACACCAAATTTGGACACAATACACCTATCAGGCTAATGAGTGACCATCACTCATAAGAACATTGAAAAACATAGCAGAAGAGACTTAAAAAGCCAAAAATCAAAAATTACATAACAGCACATGCACAAAACCACTTATAGGTATGCAAACACACATATACACAAATATATACACAAACGTATACACACACAAAACACATATACACAGACTGGGCCACAACAATGCATAGCAGGGGACGGCATATATACATACACACACACACACACACACACACATATATATATCCTGAGCCACCAGTGGCGTAGTGGCTGCTGAAGGTCGGTGGTTTGAATCTGGGGAGCAGCATGAGCTCCCGCTATTAGCCCCAGCATCTGCCAACCTAGACATTCAAAAACATGCAAATGTGGGTAGATCAATAGGTACTGCACCGGCAGAAAGGTAATGGCACTCCATGCAGTCATGCCAGCCACATGACCTTTTTAAGTCTCTTCTGCTATGTTTTTCAATGTTTTTATGAGTGATGGTCACTCATTGGCCTGATAGGTGTATTGTGTCCTTGGAGGTGCCTATGGACAATGCCGGCTCTTTGGCTTAGAAATGGGGATGAGCACCTCTCAGAGTCGGACACGACTAGACTTAATGTCAGGGGAAAACCTTTACCTATATGTGATATAAATAAACTGGGGGGGCGGGGCTAAGGATTGGATATTCGTCATAGAAAGAAAATTCAAACACATTAAGGGAATGTTTGGAAAATGTGTTTCTCAAATGTTGACAAGAATCGGAATCTTCACATTTTTGCACTTATTTTCTACAAAATTTGGCCATGGTTGTTTTGTGCAGAAAACTCTGCTTTCCATGAAGAAAATATTTCTGGACAGAATATACTGTACACCATGCTGAACATACTGATTTCTGCTCAAAAATATAGCATGTCAATTTTGTGTAGAATATGTCACCGAATGTGAGTAGTTTGCAAAAAAAAATGAATCCGTTTCCAAATACTCTTTCCCAATGGGAAGGAAATCCCCAAAATCCTTCATTGCTTCCTTGGAGTAACATAAGTGCAGCTCTCTACTGGAGACATAAATTACACAACTCTGCCATTGCAATTATAGTACACTTAAATCCCTTTATAAAGATGTATGCTCCAAGATAATAATTCTGGAAATTTAATTTGTTTATTTACATACTTTGGTAGCAGCAGCAATGGTATTTTGTGCAAAAAAAATCATGTTTTAGGCAATATAGTATTATTATTTTGTGCAAATGAAATATGCACAAAATAATGTCCAAAAAAATTTCATGTGCTCATTAGTGAGAAAAAAATTCATTTTTTTCCTCCTGATATCAGCATTTGCAATACTTAGATCCTAGTGAAAACAAAGTTTTGCTTTCAGTAGGGATACAGGACGATTGTTTTTATTTCCTAAGTAAACTAATCCATACTTCCAAGTCTAATACATGTACTACTCCTTTGGAGTGTGTCTCCAAAATTTGTCATGCAGCTCTCAGGTCCAAAAATACATTATTATTGAAAGGATAGCAATATAGAACAGTGCATATACTATAAAAGTGGTGTGTGTGTGTGTTTTAGATGGAATGATAGCTGTGAGCAAAAAATAGAATGAATCTATTGTTGGATATAGGAGAAAGTGACAGAGACCAGGAATAAGTTGGATACTCTTTGGTACCAATAATATTATCTGCCATAAATGGTAGACAAACACATATGTAGAAAGGGTAGGCATATCGCCAAGAAATAATACTTTAAATCTGAGCAACTTGTGGCCCTCCAGATATTAATAGATGGCAGCTATTATGCTGTTCTTACTAGCATAGCCAATGGAGAATGGACATTAGAAATTAAGTCCAGCAGCATGTGGAAGCACATCTCTGCCATAGAGTTCATTGATCAACACTGATTTGCATTGAAGTACATCAACTGTTCCAAAAAAGAAGACTGTTTCTTTAACTCTATTCCAAGGGATTCTGTATAATGGAACAGCAATATTTCCTAATGAGTGTGTTTTTAAAACGTAGTGGAAAAGCAGGGTCCTTCTGGATCACTTAGATGTGATGGACTCCATACTTTCTGGAAGAACCAGAAAACATGAGGTTGGGAAGTCTAGAGTTTAAAAAACCAAGGACATTTTCCTCTCTAGAAAACCCTATGTCCCATTCTTTTGAATTACACAGGGATTTGTTATTTGCCACTAGAAGTATGTGCTCTTGGTGGGTTCTGTGCTTTGTCCACCTTCCTTCTGTTCTGTCCTTCCTTTTTCAGAGCTACCATTGGCGACCTTCTCGGACCTAAGGAAAGAAATATATTTAACATGATTAAAAGCTTCCTTCCATCACTCAATCCCCACATCTCTTGAATTGACATAGCTTTAGTGTGGGTTTTCAAGTTGTCATTTGCCTGGTGACCTTTGGCGATCAGAAACAACTTCAGAGTGACTAGGAAGAGCCATGTTTACAAACTGAAAGACAGGTAGTTCTTTTTTCCTTTCCCTTTCTCCATCTCTATCAATATATTATTTATTTCGGGCACTTCTACCCCGCCCTTCTCAACCCCCAGGAGGGTACTCAGGGTGGCTTACAACCCACACAATTCAATGCCAACAATTCAACAGATAAAATACATAACAGCAATAGCCACAATAGTTAAAAACAATCAATTAATACAATAACAACTAAAAAGCCAATCTAGTGACCAAACGTTCACCGAGTTCTAAAATCCGTAAGTCCATTCAGCATTACCATAGTCCTTTCCAAATTCTGGTCATCATTACTTTGTCTGTCTGCCAGATTACCCAAAAGCCTGGTCCCATATCCATGTTTTCAGCTTCCTTCTGAAGGAGAGGAGGGATGTTGATGACCTAATTTCCCCGGGGAGTGAATTCCACAGGAGAAGGCTGTCCCTCATCCCTACCAGCCTCACTTGTGATAGAGGTGGGGCCGAGAGCAGGGCCTCCCCAGAAGATCTTAAACTCCGAGGTGGGACATAGAAGGAGATACGTTCGGACAGGTACGCTGGGCCGGAGCCGTATAGGGTTTTATAGGTCAAAACCAGCACTTTGAATTGTGCTCGGAACTGGATCGGCAGCCAGTGGAGCTGACATAACAGAGGGGTGGTATGTTCCCTGTATGACGCTCCGGTGATTAATCTAGCTGCCGCCCGTTGGACTAACTGAAGTTTCCTAACAGTTTTCAAAGGCAACCCCACGTAGAGCACGTTGCAGTAATCTATTCAGGATGTAACAAGAGCGTGGACCACTGTGGCCAGATCAATATATTATATATTTGAATAATAAATACAAGCCACTGATAGCTGGTGCCTTATAAGTAAGGTAGTGATAGCTTTAGTGTGGGCTATCCATGGTGCTGAACTGTATCCCCAAATACATTCAACACCTTGGATAGTTCCAGAATAGTGGCCTTAAACCCAAACTAGATTCAGCACCCATTTTAATACAGATGCAGCCACTGCCCCATCCTTTTACTAACCAGGATTGAGTCTGCTTAGCTTTCATGATCAGACTGGATGTCGTGTTTTATGGTAGACAATTCTTTGTATTATTCTCAGCTTAATGCAACCCTAAAGTTAACATTTTCACAAGGCTTCTTTGGAAAGATTTGTTCAGAGGAGCTTTGCCAATGCCTTCCTCTGAGGCTGAGAAAGTGTGACTTGTCCAAGTCCATCCAGTAGGCATCCTTCCCTGAGCAGGGATTTGAATCCTGAGCTTCTGGGATTCTAGTCCAACTCTCAAACCATTACAAGACACTGGCTCTCATTTGTCTGCTTATTCTAAAGCAAAGCCCAGTAGTAAACAGGCTTACTTCTGCCCAAAAATCAAAATAATAAGTGCAGCATTTTCCCTGGACCGAGTTATAAGATGTAGCAGTTGTTGTTTGGGAAATAGAGGGAAAAGGCTAGAAGAGTATGGGATTTGAAAATAAGGTCTATCTTTCCTTCTTGTGCTGAACTGTTCAAAGACCGGGATCATAGGAACAACTCTACTAAACGTATTATCAAAGGCTTTCACAGCCAGAATCACTGGGGAGTTGTGTGGTTTCTGGGTTGTATCGTCATGTTCTCGTTTTCTCCTGATGTTTCACCTTCAGAGGATCCAATGAAGATGTCAGCCACAGATGCAAATGAAATGTCATGAGAAAATGCTGCTAGAACACAGCCATACAGCCTGAAAACCACACAACACCCCAACTCTACTAAAGACATTTCCTTCCATCAATGCAACTAGGAGCAACACACTCCTCCTTCCTCACTTCATTCATCTGAACATCCCCAAAAAGCCTGCTCCAAAGAACTAGAAACTCCTCTGGAGTTGATTTTCACATTGGTCTTCCACAAGGGAAAGAAACTTTGAAGACCAGCTAAACGTTGGGTTTTTTTAGGACAGAACGACTCCAACGTACCCCATGTCAAAGGTGGATTTGGCAGTGGTGTCATCTTGGAGGTCTTTGTTCCGGGTCTCTGGCAGCAGGAAACAAAGCCCACCCCCAAGGAGTGCCGTGGCTCCCAAGAGTGACATGGGAATAGCCGGGTGGATCTTGTCCAGGAGCCCAACCAGCGGGGAGAGGATGCCGGCCACCCGAGCAGCCATAGAGCACAATCCCAACCCCGTTTGCCTGGTTAAGGAAGAAAAACACAAGTTATACCCAAACATATGCCGATCTTGGGTGATTACCCTGCTAATAGACAGTTTGATGCCAAAGTTGGTGCGCCCTTCTTTCCTCTACAACAGCGGTTCCCAAACTATGTTCTGTGGAATCTCAGGATTCGGCAAAAAAAAAAAATTACAACTTTTTAAAAGTCTGTGTCAGAGTGTCAAAATCTCATTGAAATTCAGTGTACCTCTGCTTTCACAATGAAATTGGAATATATGGATATGAAAATTGGAATCAACAGATGACTTTTGGGTGGAACTGATAGACTGTTAGTGACCAGAAAAGCCATCCAAGCAATGTTCCCTTTCCTATCCAACTATCGATACAAATCAGGCCTTTTAGCTTATGCTTATAGCAAAAACAAATTTGGGAGTAAGTTGGATGCCATTCTAGATTTATATATGTAGTGGTCAGATATAAAGTCTGGTCTCAAAACAATTTTGGGCCCTCTGGGTGTTCTGGACTCCAACTCCCACAATTCCTTATAGCCTACTGGCTGTTAGGAACTGTGGAAATTGAAGACCAAGACACCCAGAGGACCCAAATTTGCCCATGCCAGCACTCTCTTCATGCTTTTGGCAGCAAAAGGATCCTCACCTGACGACTGTGGGGAAGACCTCCGAAGAGAAGACATAACTGGTTGAAAAGGAAGCGGCAAGAGCAGATTTGCCAATAACGGCCAATGTTGTCACGATCGCAGGGAATTCTGGGCAAAAACAAAAGACACCATGAAACAGGCCAATGCTGAGAATGGCCAGGAAGTAGAGAAAGACCAATGGCTTATCAAAATGCAGCTCTATAGGATTCCAAGCTATTTCCACCTACACATACAGACTGGGTTAGAAAGGCCCTTGATGTCTATATGGGGACAAGCTGTAGCTTGGAGATAGTATGCACCTTGCTAAAAGAAAATCTCCGCTTCCATTCCTAGCATCTCCAGCTAAAAGCTCAGGTAAGTAAGACTGAGACTCTTGAGGAGTGCCACCAATTTGAGTTGGCGATATCGGGTCAGATAAACCAATGGTCTGACTCCATGATGACATCTGACAAACTTATTTTTTTGCCTCCTCCAACATTGCAGATAAGTTGCATTCTGCTAGAACCCTACAATTTAGTTAATCTCCTGCTAGAACCCTAAATTTTACTTAATCTCAACTGTTGGCTGAAACAAGACTGGTTCATAAACTAGGATTTGAAAATTGCTTCTCTGGATAAACCATAGTTATGATTAACCACAGTTTGAATGAGTTCAAAATTCATGACAAGTGTTCTGTCGCCGCTGGGCTTAAAACAAATTGCTGTTAAAACAGGACATGCAACTTGAGCCCAACGAGAA